GGAAATAAACTAAACTGATACANTATATGGACAGTATATGAAAATGTATGGGGTCATATATTTTCATTCTTATATTATTTTATGTGACTTGTGTCAAACCCCATACATGTTTCACATATGTTCATATATATGTATTACACTATATGGTCAAATATGTCCCTTATATGTTAGACTGGTTAGATTTATGGCCATTTCATATATGGTCTTATATGAAATTTTCACATAGGATGGCTGAAATGGGCAGGTGGATTTCAACTCATCGCCCCCTCATTCATATCGTTCCCTTAGGCTATTGGCTATGGTGTATGAAAAATTAAAAATAGGTTAGCTGCAAGAAAAATCAATAAAATATTATTTCTGGCATTGGATTATACAGTATTTCATGGATTATGGACCTTTTTCAGATATGGATGTGCTTCAGGTATTCTCACTGTACATAAACATGTTTGACTTCATATACAGGGTGGTACACAAAAATGTTTCACATTTCATTAACCTGTATTTTCTTTATTTATTATGATAGAAAATTGAATTACGTGTCATCTGATAGGCAAACTCAAAAGAGTTTTTCCAATGCTGAAAGACATGCTCAAAGTGTTCACCATTCCTTTAGATAATCTGTTTGTAATGTACAGCAGTGTTTTAAATTGCCTTGTTCAGGAGTTTCTTGCGTTATGCCTCTGAGTGCTGTAACCACAGAACGTTTGAGTTCATCAATGGTGTGTGGATTTGTGGAGGATGCCTTTTCTTAAAGGAAACACCATTATAAAAAAAGCTGGCAGTGAAAGATCAGAAGATGTTGCTGGCCATGAGATGTCCTTTTTCATACTCATAATGCTTTCTCCTCAAACTTATCAACAATCTTCTCAATCGTTTGACTTGATGGAGGTGTTTTATCATGAAGAAAACAGAGCTAAGGGTGTTAATCATGCATAAATTAGTTGAAATACCTTCACCTGCTACTGTGAAGAGAGAATGTAGATGACGACTTCCTGATGAAACATCAAATCCAACTATTGAAAATATTGTTGATGAGTTTTGAAGAGAAAGCGTTATCAATACGAGAGAGGACATCCTGTGGTTAGCACTATCTCCAGACTGCCAGATTTTTTTAAAGTGGATTTCCTTAAACAAAAGGTGTTCTCCACAAATGCACAAAACATTAATGAAATCTAACGTTCTTTGGTTACAGGGTTCGGAGGCATAACACAAAAGACACTCAACAAAGTTATTGAAAACACTGTTGTACACTACAGAGAGATTATCCATAGGAACGGTAAACACTTCAAATGGCTCTTCCAACATAAAAAGCTACTTGAGTTTGTCTATCATATGACATGTTATTTAATTTTCTATTGTAAAAAATAATGAAAATATAGGTTAATGAAATGTGAAACATTTTTGTGCACCACCCTGTATAAACGAGATTTGACATGGCACAAATGATATAATTGTATGAGCCAACATATAAAAACGTATGGGCCAATATATTTTCATTTTATATGATTGCATATGACTTGTCTAACTCCATGTATGTTCATATCTGGATTGCACTATATGTTTGTCAAATATACTGGGTGTTTCAAAAGTCACTTCCACTGTTCAAATAACTGCTTCCAGAAAAATGATGGCCACAATGTTGTGAAACTTTTTGTGTAGACCAATTTGACCATGCGGAAGAAAATGTACATGTTCATGTGGTGGTTTATGATGGCATTATAGTCACACTAGGTGGTACCTATGGTCCTCAAATGGCATATGTTTTTATACAGCCTGTCCAGTCCCAGAAAGGACCATTTCTAATCCACCAAAACCAGTAAAAGTCTCTTTTGTTATACTTAGGGCCTTTTTCCTCTCCCTTCCACTCACCAAAAAACAGGTTTGGGACTAAAGGAAAGCAGTTGACAGTTTGACAGTTTTTGATAGGTCATAAGAAATGGCAATCCATCAGGGGCTCATGCTGCCTGGTCCTTTCTGGGCCTGGATGAATTATAATAGCTGTTCCATGTGCTTTCCTTTGGTGATAGGCATAATCTCCAATTATGACAACACATTCTGCACTGCGGCTTGAAGCATATCAGGGAGTATGGAATGGACTAAGGAATTTAGCTGTGAGGTCCTGAAAGGCTCTTGCTGAACATGGCCCTCACTTCATGTTGTGCTGCCATCCATAACCACTTGAAGCTGCTTTGTTATTCCTGAAATTTTCATGGTGGAACCCCATGAGCTCAAATCTCTACTCCAAGCTCAGCATTACAGTGACTTATTAAAAACTGCTTGAATATGCATTTAACCTATTGCTAAGGAACCAAAGGTTACCATGTAGTGTGACCTTGATGTCATCATTGACTACCACAAGACTATGTATATTTTCTTCGGCATGATCAAATTGGTCTACACACCAAGTTTTACAAAGTTGTGTCCATCGGTTGCATGGGGCAGTTGTCTGAACAGTGGATGTGACTTTTGAAACACCCTGTATATGGACAGGCTAATTATATGGCTATTTCATATTTTGCCTAATATGAAGTTTTTATGTGGATAGTCACAAGGATATGTTATTTTACCTCTATTTTCAAGTTTTATCAGTTTTTGTGAACTGAACTGGAATAAATATATTTTATTTTCGTTTAGTTGGTTTACATTTAGGTAACTGGAAATAAACTAAACTGATACATTAAACTAGAGGTAAAATGAAACAGACGATCGACTGAAACTTGACTAAATGTTTGAAATCACTGTAAATGTAGCCTATAATACAGACCAAGGGCCTGTTCCTCACCTCCACTAAACTTAATGTAAATATGCATCTAAACTTGACCTGAATTCCTTGTATAAAGTAGCCAGCAGCCCATTTCTCACCTTTGCTAAACTTACTCTAATCAAAAAGCAAAAAAGCCTCTTCTTCACCCAGACTCATACTAAAACTTAGTCTAAAGGGGGAAAGATTTGTCAACAGGTCCAACCCAAGCTAAATTTAATCTAAATGTTGGAATGAAGGAAGAGAACTCTCATTGATGATTGTTCAATAATGCGTGGGCACCCAAAATCAGTGCACACAAATGTTATTAATACTTATATCTTATGGGTTGTGATGTAGGTCTCAAATGGTTTTCACTTCTCAAGAAGGGGTGAGAAACCCCTGAGCCCATCTGCCCCCCCCCCCCCCTTTTTTTTTGGTTGTGCCATTGTGCCACAGTTCATAGATGTCCCATTCTCTTGTTCTGGTGGGTAATTCTGGTTTTGTCCCCACTGGCCCTCTTCCCTTCCCTTCCCTGTGTACACATGCATTAATTTCTTATTAAGATGAACAGCAACAGACTCCCTTGGTTGCTTTTACAATCCTTTTACAATCAGGTTATGATTAAGTTTAGAATTAGGCTAAGTTTAGCACTAAAAGGGTCTAAAATCTAAAAGTGGTCATTCAGCCCTGAGGTGAAGGACAGACTCCCTTGGCTACATTTTAGGACACTATTAGGTCAAGTTTAGATTTAGATTCAGATTCAGAATTTTTTCCTACTTTCTCTTTGCATCTCCACATGCATAAATTAAATAATAGCTTGTTTGCAGCTGTTACCTTTGACCAAATTGTTAGGTCAGTAACACTGAAACTTTCTCCCTTAGCCATTTTAGTTTGGAGCAACAAGAAATGCTGGTTTGGTGTGTAGAAAGATGTCTATCTCTACCTTTCTTTCTTAAAGAATGATAGCACCATATGAAATAAAATCAGGCAATTGAGAGGGAGATAAGGAGGCCAAAATTGCTGTCCAAATTGTGTTGTAACACAACATTACCTCATTTTGCTCCTCTTGTGGCAGAAAAGAGACATTTTAATCTAAAAATAGCTCAAGGAGTATATATTTTACAAATTGCTGATGAAGTTAAGCTTTTGTACTTAACTATCTGCAAGCAGGGTGGAGAAACTTGTGACCCTCAGGCCAGATCTGGCCCACCAGTTCATTTAGTCCCACCCTTCAACATCTAGTTTTGGAAAAGTGCTGTAAGTTTAAACTGATTGCATTAAAAATATGGTGTAAGAGTTGTTAGTGTGGCCCCCAACCACCCTTGAAGGGTACCTTCTGGCCACCAGCTTAATTAAGTTTGACACCACTGGTGTAGATTCTATTTTGTTGGGAATAGAGGCCTGATGTTAAATCAGTAACTTTGGAACTGTCTTACTTGCTGTTAAACTGGTTTGTTAAAATACAAAGTATAATTATACACCTCTGTTATTGTTTTCCTGCTTGCGCAGTCCCTTCTTGTTCAAATCATACAGAATTGTATTCCTGTTTGGAGCCCATCTTGTCCCAAAGAAACCTTTGAAGCATCATAGCAAAACAGTCACTTTTTGTCTCTATGCACAACAGTGCCAATTTGCTCTTTTGCTGCTATGTCAGACATTCCTTATCCTTCATGTCCAAACATACATTCAACTGTTATTCCAGGCCCTATTGCAGCTATGTTCTCTGTCAGTCAACATGTAGCATAAGGAAAACCATCATCATTTTGTGTCCCACCCTGTATGTTCCTTAACTAGAAACTCAGGAAATTCTGTTATAGGTGCACTGTTTTGAAGTCTTTGGCCATTATTGCAAATTTTATCTAATGTTTGCAAGTTTGGGAGTCCCTAAATGTTTTCCTTATGGAATACATTCAGTTGAATAAGGCAGAGCATGAATTTTCACTAGTTATTTGTGTTTTTTTTTTGTTGTTGCAGAATTGATGGGAAATCACAAGTATAATTCAATTTGGAAAATTTTTAACAAAATGCCATTCAGTTCCTCTGCATAGCAAAATGCTCATTTTTAGTGTAAAAAGTCTTCAGAGTAATTTCAACTGATATATTCTACTTATCTGTCATTTCTCAATGACGTTTCATTGATTTTCATGCATGCTATCATTTTGATCACAAAGTTCAAGTTTTTGTGAGATGGCTTGCTTCCTTCATTCCTCAGATATTTTTTTAAATGTGTGCTGTGTGATCTATCTTATTTGACATCATGCGAGTGAAGAAGGGTGGCAAGACTTATGATCGAGGAAAACGCTTACACCAAGAGAAAGGAAGGAAGTGTGAGACACCCCAACAAGGAAATTATCACACAAAGGGCTCAGATAGTGATGCAGAAGATAAGTGGCTCAAGTATAGGGAATTCCCAAATGATACAGGCAGAGATATGTTTGCTTCATCTTCCAGTGGCTCATCATCAGAGATGTCTGCTTTTGACAAGCTACTTGCAAATGATCCTATCCATATTCCATGTTTGTGAGTTCCAAATCCTCATATATTTATATATACCCATTTGTTCATATAGGTCTTGTACATTCAGCTATATTGTCAATGTAACATTTCTGCAGCTCATTTTCACGATCAAATCTCTATTTTGCAAGTTGCTGCACAAATAATTTTTATAATGCAGGATAGCTTATTGTCTCATCTATTCACAGCTGCCTGTACATGCAGTATTTTATAATAATAATAATCTAGTCATGGCTGTAATTGGAAGGCCTTTGAAAGGTTGGTTGATCAAACATTTTTCAGAAAAACTAATTGGGAGTTCTTTTGCATTTTGCACAAGAGAAACCTCCCATGTGATAAATTCCATCTATATTATGCCACATGTTTACAGTTTGGAATATTTTTTGCAAAAATGAGATAAGCTATCCTTCAGTGTGAAACTAACTACTCTGAGAAGTTTGACAGAGTATATTTTGCAGGACTTTTGCCCTGTAATGTACAGGGTGGTCCACAATATTTGCAACAGAACTAAATAGGTTCATGTTCACTTTCATACTTCTGCTGCATAACATAACAAAAAATTTTTGTTTTAAATTGTTTGGTCATGGCTGGCATTTTAAGTGAAAAAATTGCCATTATTTGTTAAACATTATTGTACTAGCCCGTACCTGATCTAATGACCAGGCTGGGCTATGAAACCAACTTTTTTCAGGATGCTAAATGTTCATTTGCAATATAAAATGCCATCAGTAATGCCTGATGATTTTTGGTGAAAAAATTAGTGGTCATGAAATGCATTAGTATCAGTATGGTTATTGTTAATCCTACCAATTCAAAGTTATCTTGACTGCAAATGCCAAACATGTGCAGAATAAATTGGTATATCTGATTATTTCCTCTCATATTGCATGGAATTCAGGCTGTGGTTATCTTATGATTCAGGAGGTTGCAGACTGTACCACTTAGCCAGATTTGTGGTCACATTTCTTCATCTTCAGACTCATCAGGTCATTCTTTGTCAGACTCTTCCTTGGGCTTCTTTGCAAGTCCAAAACCCAGACAGGGTGCCTCTCCTACAAGTGAGTCATTCATGAAATAATGAGTTCCATGAAGTTGTATAAGGTAGAGAATAATGAAAGTACTTCTACTTGCAACTTTACCATGTCATTTCAGAGGGAGTTCCTAATGGGGTCTCTGCATCTGCTAACATCAGTTCATCAGATAAGCCTTCAAAATCTTTACTACCCTCAAGGACTACTTCAAGAGGTTTGAGACCTCCCAGAAGTTTAAGATATTACAGATCTGGAAAGACATTAGATGCCAAACAAAGGGAAAGGCCATCAGTAAAGTCCAACATGAATTCAAATTTGTATACAGGGACAAAAGCTATACCTGCAAGCTCTAATGATCATATCACTCAAGGATATTGTCTCAGATCTACAAAATCATCTTCAGCTGCAACTCCTGATATTTCTGGAGCAGAATGGGCTCCTAACTCTAGCAGGATTGAAGCTCTTGGACATGAAGTCTTCTTGATCCGGCCATCTTCTGGGGAGGAGGTGACAGGCACTAAGTTTGTGGAACTGGAGCAGCCCTCAAGAACCCATTCTCCAAGAAGTTCCAATTGGCAATGCAGGAGGGCTAGAAGCACTTCCCCTGCCAAAAATCAAGAAGACACATTTGGAGTATCAAACAATAAATCAAGTATAAATAAAAGGTCAAGGAAGCTATCTTCCAAGCCTGCAACTCAGTTGTCTGCTTCTGAAAGATGGCCAAGATCTCAGAAGTCTCTTCCAACCAAGACTTCTGATATCCAGGCATCAGTTTCTAACTCAAATGGGATTCAGTCTTCTGTAGATGATTATCATGATGTTGGTTCGTTCTTGTCACATTCACAATCTGTTGAAGAGAAATGTAGTCTTCCCACATCAAGCACCCCTTTTCCAAACCTGAACTTCCAACAAGGACCTCATCTTTTTATGAGTGGTGTCACTCCTGTGCCTGCATCTGTGGTTCCTTTCTCTACCCTCAGGCTTGACTTGCATCCAAACAGATCAAAGACTGCTTCAACAACACCAAGATTTGAGGTTGAGTGCAAAATTACCACAAGAGGGAAGAGAAGAACACGTCTCTATCATGAATACCAGCAAGAAAATGCCTGTCCTTTTAATCCTTGCAGTGATGATTTGCAAGTTCTAATGGAAGGTATGATAAACTTAAATCTTGGTCCCTTGACAAATGTCTCCAAAGAATCTCAAAGTAACAAACCATCACAGGAAAATATTATTTCTGTATCTGAGAACATCCTTCCTCAGGTTTTGTCTTTCAAGGGGGAATGCAATGATGCCCAATGTATTGCTGGAAGATCTTCAGAGGTGAATACTCTGCAAGAAGCAGGGCAAGCTTTCCCCCATCCATCTGCTTCTGTGTACAACCCTCTTTCCCTTGATAGCAAACAAAGGATTGGATGCATTGAAATGAATGGCTTGAACCCAGAACAATTACCAGTGATGGACAATCAGGAGGTGCATGACACTGAAAGCATTAACCTTAGAGAAAAAAAGATTGACATTGATGGTGAAGTCCTTGCATCAATGCCCAATAGAGTGTCAGAGCCCAGTGATTGTGCCAATGTGTCTTATACTAATGTGGAGGATGAGTCATCCCCGGAACACCTTTGCCATGGAATACTTCAGCCTGTTCAAAAAGCACCTTGTGCCTTTCCTGAAGGAAATGCTGATGGAGGGAAGGCAATTGAGGTTCAATGCCCAGAACAGAAAAAGTCTCTTATGTTCATGAGTCAGGAGCTATGTGATGTAGAATGTGTTCCCAAAGATTGCATGACTGACCTAACCTGGAAGGACCCTAATGCTAAGGATGAGTTATTCCAGGGATGCCACATCCAGGAACATATGTTCATTTACAATGGATATGGTGCTTTTCCAAAGGAGACAGCCAATGAAAGTGGAGCAAAGAGGAATAAGGAAGAGTCTAAGAACTTGGAGAATGCTGGAAATGTTTTGACAGTTATGAATGGCATTGCCAGTAGTGATGAACCCAGTAAATTAAAGAGGAAGTTCAACTCATATGTTACAGGAGATTATTCAACCATTCCAAAGTTTCAGGAAAGACGGTTTACAGCAGTCTATAAAAGAGTGACAGCTGGAAAACAATGGAGAAGAAAAACAATTGCAAGAAGGGTATCTTTATATGACATACCTCGGAGAAGGACTCTGTTTGTTTCTGCACCAGAGAAAATAGAATGTGATTATCAAAAGTCCATCATTGACATCTGTTCCTACAATGATGGGAAACCCATGCGATTCTCAAAGTTTGTTCGTAAAATGTGAGTAATTGGCATTTTTGAGAATTCTTTAAGACTAATTCTTATACTACATTCAGATAAGTTTCTCACAGTCTAGCCTCTACCAGCTTTATCCAAAATGTGCTAGACATTTGCAGATGCAAAAAACTGACTTCTAAGTAATCAGCTTCATCAGGAATCACCCTTAAGGAAAAAAAAAAAACCAATGAAGCTATTCAGAGGGAAATTGAATCTGCAGGAGAGGAACTAAATGGAAAAGGGTTAAAATAGACCAGAGGTTCTCAAACTTTTTGAGTCCATGACCCTGTTTAATGGGGGCCAAAAGCTTGTGACCCCCAATTTTCAGGGGAAATTTTCTCTTGAAAAACATGGTTAGGCTTGCTACAGGAAACTATCTGAAGAAAAGAGATTATGGCATTTTTCCAATTCCACTGATCTGAGATTGCATGACTGACCATTGACTGAACCATTGCAATGTTGCAGGAAGCCCATGGTTTATCATGATCCCCCATGTTAGAGATATTAATTTAATGAGATTTAATTGGAAATTTGTGAAAGTTATTGAATCTATAGATTCCTTATCATGACAATATTAAAAGTTCATTTCAGTATTTAGATGCAGCTTAGGAGTAGCTTTTCTTGAAATCCAAAAAACTCTATTTTAGTACAATTAGGGCCAAAGATAGCTCTATGACCCATAGGGTCACTTCTCCTTTCGTGGATTGTAAATTTGAGGTTCAATATCTTCACAACCATTTGTGCTAGACTGCTGAAATTATGATTTTATTTCATAACTCAGGGAGGTCATAATGATTGAATTTCCTCAATTAAATCACTATTGATGAGCCACCCAAGTTCAATCACTTGGGCTGGAATGCCTCATAGATGGTAGGGATCAGCTGACTCAAAAAATTATTCCCAGAATATTAAAAAAATTAGTTTTTTTTTTGTAACTTAGAGCATCAGTAGCTGTGACATTGAACCTATTCAAGGAAATTTTCTGCAATTTTTATTTTTGCTGCTTCATACTTAATTCAAAGGTCAGATATAAAACTGATAAATTTCATTGTGCATTTTTTGCTTAAGTGATATTGTTATGCTGGTTTTGGATTCTTCACTCAATTATGAGTGAATTGACACCATAACCAAGACTCTAGCGTAAGTACTTTTTGAGTTATAGTGATATCAAAATTGGGGATTAGAAGGTGACCTTAAAATTTGACCACCCTGTAGCATAAGACCTATGGGCCCAATGAAGCTGAAATTTGGTATTTCTGGATTTCATGACAATAAAATTGTGTGTCGAATTTCATAAAAATCAGAGGGGGGTCTGGTGTTAATTTGCAAAATTTTGGTGAATTTCCCATGGAATGACTCCATTTCACAAGTTCAGTTTAAGATATTTTGTGTCACTGAAGAAGCTCACTAATTGACTATTTCTTTATTTCAAGTCTTTTGTGGAACTTATATTAAGCTACTTCCATAAACCATAGCATGGAGAAGAATTCCAGCCAATAAAATACTCAACTTGCTTATTTTTTGGCATTTATTTAACCAGCTACTGCTGATGCAGAGGATTAATATAGGTTTTCCCTACGAATTTTGGCAAAAGTTCATTCAAATTCAGCATCCACCGTTTCAATTTCAGCAGGGCAAGGGAATCTCTTCTTTTGGGAATTAATGAGTATGAGGAATAGGGCAGGAAAGGGCACAAACGCATAGGGTATTTTTTTGTTGTTGAATAATCATTATTTTATCATGCAAAGGGTAACACATGGACATTGGCACTGATTCTATCCATCGATAAGTTCTCTCCTTAGGCACCTGATCAAGTATGCTTGTGCATGGCGAAACCATGCAAAGCATATCTGATGGATGATATGGGCATGTTCTGTCAGATTCAAGAAAGGTGAACATGCTGGCAGAATCTTCCAGTGAACGTTAGGAAAGGCATCTGGAATCGAGGCTTGTTTGTGGGGTCAAGCATCATCTAAGATTATGAACTGGAACTGAATATTTGAAATCGGCTGCTCCTTTCTGTGAGTCCTCCATGTAGGATGTGTTCATGTTCATTTCCATGCTTGGGATAATCTTTTACTACAAAGAACAACAGGAATGTGTCACATCACTGACGTTCCAGGAATTCTTTGAGGAGCTCCTGAAACATGCACACATGATTTTGCCAACAGATCAACCAGTTTATGTTATCATGAATAATGTTAGACCCCACAAATGAGCCTCAGTCCCAGATGACTTCTCTAACGTTCACATGAAGTTTCCGCCGATATATTCTCCTTTCTTGAATCTGACAAAACATGCCCACGGTGCATTTAAGGCAGCTGTCAAGCGTGAGGTGTACCTTCCTGAAACACAGGTAGAACTTGGACAACGAAGACCAGAACAAAACTTGCAGCAAAGTCAGACAGGGAAACTGCTCGAAACAGGAGAAACATCAGTTGGGCAATTAGAAGAAAATAGAAGTGCTTTGCGTGGTTTTGCCATGCACTAACATACTTGATTAGATGCCCAAAGAAGAGAACATATCGATAGATAGAATCAGTGTCAATGTCCATGTGTTTTTATTTGCATATTAAAATAATGATCATTCGCCGAAAATACACTATGTGTTTGTGCCCTTTCCTCATTCCCATGTTAATTATCAGAAACAAGATATTTCCTAGCACTGCCGAAACTGAATGGGAAAACCAGGAGGAGAGAGGAGCACTGCCAAAATTGAAATGGCAGCTGCCGAATTTGAATGGACTTTTGCTGAAATTCATCGGGAAAACCTATATTATTGATTGGATTCCTGAATGGCCTCTTTTAATGTAGGAATGTGGAAAGAAGCTCAAAACTTGGAGAAGGAGTTTACGGTGAGGTATATCGGCTGCCAGAGGGTTCTGTTTTGAAGGTCATCCCAGTGGGACGTGAAGCTCAGCTTGAACCCTATCTCCAGACAAGTTTTGAAGACATCTATTCAGAACTAATCATTGCCAGGTGAGCTAAACATTCAGTGGGTATGGGTTTGACTATATGCAGATATTGGTTCCATGGACTTAAATTTGTGTTGCATGTTCTGTGAATTATATGCCTATCAAATGTCTCCATTTTTTTAATACAATATTTTTAGGATGCTTCCCACAGCTTCATAACTGGAAATAGCCTCTGAAAGAGTTTAAAGTCTGTAACTGCCAACAAAGGAATGTAGCACTTCCTGCAATAGCACCACATATTTTTGTCTATCTATTGCAAGTTTAGGAATTGCTAACTGCCTTATGAAATCTACTCATGTAATCCTCTGTATACAGGGTGTCCCATATAGATAGAGCCCCCCTCCACAGTCCAAACCAAAAATGCTGCAATGTGAGAAACAAGAGGAACAGTGGCAACACAAATGTATCTTCTTCATACAGAGAACATTCTGACATCTTCAGCATTTCACTTGGAATACTGCATGTCTATAAAATCTTTGACCCATGATGAATGTTAAAACTTCCAAATGAACTACAATGAAACCATGCAATAAAGTACATAACAATGTGCATACCTTCAAGTTTCTTATGTATTGGGTTGGAAAGAAAGTCTTGCAACACTTTCTAAAACTATTTATAAAAATTTTCAAAGGAATGATGGGCGGGGCTTTGCATTTGTATACGCTGGAATGTTCTCGAAGCTTCTGCCCTCGGGGTATATAACGCGACTTCTGCCATTAGTTGGCAGCCATGGCTCTGATCGAACAAGCAACTCTTCACCCCATCGTCTACTACGAGTTCCTCCAAGGACACTCTGCGAGAGATGCCGCAGACAACATCTGCACTGCATTCAAGGGCAACTTTGTCCACTATTCCACAGTGTCTCGATGGTTCAAACGCTTGGAATCTGGCGACACGACCTTCGGAGATCGACCACGCTCAGGACGTCCATCTACAGTTGATGACGAAGTCCTGCGGAATGCCCTCAATGCGAAGCCGAACGCCACCACTCGCGAATCGGCGACTACACTTGGAGTCACCCATATGACCATCGGCAACCATCTGAATGACCTCGGCTATCGGAAGGTTTATTCGACATGGGTCCCTCATTGGCTCGGCGACTCTGACAAAGCAAGCCGTGTTAGTGTCTGCGAATCGCTGCTCCTTCGTCCGCACAGAAAGGACCTTCTGAAGGAAATCGTTACTGGAGATGAGAGCTGGGTCCTCGACGTCGACCATACTCGCAAGAGTCAGTGGCTTCCACGAGGAGAATTGCCGCCACACGAACCGAAACCAGGGTTCCACGAGAAGAAGGTTCTTCTCTGCTGTCGGTGGGATTCAGAAGGAATGTCGTACTATGAGCTCCTGCCAACCGGTACCACCGTGACTGCCGTCGTCTACGCTGCTCGACTTCAGAAGTTGGCTGGCGTCATTCAAAAAGAGCGTCCCAAACGCGACAAAGTTCTCCTGCATGACAACGCTCGTCCACATGTTGCGAAGATGACTCGCCAGACAATTTCGGAACCGGGCTGGGAAGTTTTATCCCATCCAGCGTATTCTCCGGACTTTGCCCCAAACGACACGACTATCCCTTGTTCCGGGCCCTCGAGAATCACCTGCGGGACAAGGCCTTCCACGATCGAGCACAGCTCGAAAATGATGTCTCAAAAGATAGCAAAGTGGGGCCTGACATTTCTAAGAGAAGAAGTAATTTGAGAAGACCTGCCAAAGCAAGAGGGAGTGGAGTAGAGGATCATAGAAAAGAGGTGCAACGTTTGCAACACACTCCAGAGAAGTTGGCTGACGTCATTCAAAAAGAGCGTCCCAAACGCGACAAAGTTCTCCTTCTGCATGACAACGCTCGTCCACGTGTTGCGAAGATGACTCGCCAGACGATTTCGGAACCGGGCTGGGAAGTTTTACCCCATCCAGCGTATTCTCCGGACTTGGCCCCTTCCGACTATCACTCGTTCCGGGCCCTCAAGAATCACCTGCGGGACAAGGCACAAGACGATCGAGCACGGCTCGAAAATGATGTCGGCCGTTTCTTCGCTTCGCAATCGCCAGAGTTCTGGGCAAAGGGCATCGAGCAGTTACCCGTGCGTTGGGAACATGTCATATACAACAATGGTCATTACATTGTAGATTGAAATTGCATTTCAATAAAGTTATAAAATTTTGACAAATTTGCGCAGTGTTGCAAGGCTTTCTTTCCAACCCAATAATTTCGTTTTGTTCATTTACGCCTGCTTCCGGAAAGACACATATGATTGAAGAAGAACGATGAGATAGGTGGTGGTGACACCGAGAATGCCAACCAAAAGTGCTCGATTAACATTGAAGAACCCGGCAACACAAGTAGAGCCGACCTTGCCGATCAATTGAGAGTTAAACATGGCAAATTCTATTTTGTCGTCCACTTTCAAGTTGAGGGTGCTCATTTTGTTTACCTTTTCGCGGAAATCTTCCTGCGCGTCCTGGAGCCCCTGGCCCTCTTCACACAGCCATATCAGTCCAACTGCGCAAGCGAGCACTATGCCCCATGGAAACAATAGTCCCAGAACGTAGATGGGATTCCAATCGGTTTCTGCGCCGTTTCCAAACGGAAGAGAAACAATGGAAAAATAAAGAGAGCTAATGAATTCGATTAGGTCATTAGCAAGAATGATGACCACCATCGGAGCAAGGGCTTTGGTGAATCGCTTATTCTTGTCTTCAATTTCGAAAAATAAAGCCCTGATGCTGGCGATGTCCAAGGTGGAATTTCGCTTGTCAAGATGCAAATGTATGTTCCGGACTTGCCCATTGCAGAGTCGGAAGCAATAGCACATTAGGAACTTCCCAGCGATCTTGATCCATGAGGCGACTATTGAAAAGAATGCGCCAAAACCAATGATAATGAACTTGCTAATTTCAATCTGATCCTTGTTGATGTGTTCTATTTGGATCAGCCTGGCTGCATGGAAAGTAAAGGCCAAGGCTTGTATTACGATCAGGAGTAAGGGCTTTAGGGAAGACATTCGAATCTCCTCCAGTAAAGCAAGATGGGGACTACTATACAGCTCTTCCCAAGCCCGAACGTAGGCTTCTCGTTGCCAACACCACGCCATTCGGAGATATAGCACGGCGACGACATTCGACACGAAGTATATGTAATAGGCAATGGTATCCACGTCGTCCAAGCTTGTTGCCATCCCACTGTATATCATCCCCCATAGGCCGTAAAAAAAATTTGCTGCAACTCCTCCCCATAGGAGAAGCATGTAGATAGCATGCATGATCCGCAGGAAGAAATTGATCCGTTTTGGAGAATCTGGATTGGAGATCCTGGCGTGGCTGGTGAGGCTGGAAAGGCCGAAAAGGAGTTCCATCCGACGAAAGTGACGCATCGAATTGAGAAGGCGATGGTAGGGCTCGTGCTTGTCCACAAAGGCCTTTTGGGCTGCCATAACCTACAAGAACTCCGTCACTTTCCCGACGCAACTTTGAGAAAGCAACCTGAAAGTCCCTCACAGCGACACTGACAGAAAGCAGATTAATTTTTTTGTGCAAAAGAACGACGATCTCAAAGGGGTGCTGAATATTGATGCCTGAATGACGTCCCCTGATGAAATGGAATCATTTAATCTTCGTGCATTGTTATTTGCATTTGAAATTAGATGGGCTGTCAACTTCCATCAACAAGAACATCGATGTCTTATCAAAGAATTATCTATTTGGCTCTCCTAATGCACATAATGTGTTTCAGAAGGGATTGTGGAGGCATTAGCGTAATGCGTTTCATTGGAGATCGATGCAGTTGACTTCATGGATCCCCCGATAGCACTAATTAAATTCGCGTTCAAGTTGTTGACGAAGTTTGTGTGAAGTCATTATTTATCTTCGCTTCCATGTTTCGTTTTGACTCTTTCCCCATTGAGAAGTGAAGTTGAAGGAATTACCATTCGTTATGCAATCGAATAATGAATTGAAATTGAAAACCTTCGACCAATTAGGTTCTTTCCTTGAAATGGAATCCCGTGAATAAATCGCTTCCGCAGAGCATTCCTGTCGTAACGGCCGCATGATAGCTTGAATTCACGCTCAATCTCGTTTTCTAGTTTTCGGAGCCCTGATCTGCGATACTTCTTCGATCTAAATGTTTCAGAAATTTAGTTCAAATGAGAAACAGCATGAAGGGGAGGAGTGGTCCGAAGCCCAGGAGAATCTTAGGAATACTGAAACTGAAGCAAACCGAATCGGAAAATACATTTCAAGCACCCCACTCCTCGGCGACTACGACCATCTTTTAAATTTTTATGCGCGATCCCGAGCAGGCTAGACAAGGGAGGAATCACGTGGTCCAGGTCGGAAGGGGTTAACGACAGGTTGAAAGAGTTATGTATCGCGGAGGGGGCAGTGTTTCTGGACACTAGAGAGGCTTTGAGTCACTGTAGAAGTCCGATGGCTAGGGATGGCGTACCGTCACCCGCACCCCCGACCTTGCCTCCCAGCACGCTCTTAATAGCCTGCCTCAGCCTGCCCATGATGAGTTCAAAGCCAGACTTAGGAGTATCGTTGGTCCCTACGCGAACGACCACCGACACTTCCTCGGCTGACTCGGAACGCACCACCGATCCGATCCTATTCCTAATGTGTTCGATCCTTGCGCCGGGAAACTGACTGAAAGAAACCTGAGCTCCTGAATCTTTTTCCATCGCTCCCTCAAGACGCCTGACGCTCGAGTCACCGACGATTACAAGGGCCTGAGCAAACGATGAGCTTTGATATTTCTTCCAAGATGTCCCGTAATAACAGAATACACCGTTAGATATTCCCGTAATACCGTTAGATATTCTGTATCATAACATTCTTGAGCCTTTCCAGGACTATGCAGAGTCAGGTTTCACATATAAATATACTTTCATTAGTAAAGAGTTATTCTTTATCATTTTGGGAAATTGCTTGGAAAATAATTACATTAAAATTGGTGATCAGATTTTCAGGCAAAAAATTGGGTTCCCAATGGGCAGCAATTACTCTACTAATA